CAGTAACGAAGTACTTGTACTTCGTTACTTCCCACCACTGCTTATCGGGAATAAAAATCTGAAGATTGTAGACTGTATTTTTATGGAGTCCCAGTTACTATGACCGATGGATTCCGGTAAATACAAGATATTTATGTGAAGCTTCACCTTCTCTAAATATACAACCACAAGCCTCTGCATATGTTAGAATGGCCCAGTCAAAGTCAAGACATAAAGTTTGTCACAAGAATCTGTGGAAACGTTTAAAATAGCTGTCACAGAAGCTCCCGGTCCAGTCTGACTGAGTCTGAGCTAATTTGAACAGAAGAATGGGCATAAAATTAATTCCCTGGAATTTAAGGTCTTGAAGAAACATTTGTTGATATACTTTATTCAAACTGCGCACAGTTTGCACACGTGGAGCAAATGCTATCATACACAATTTGTCTTTTTTAAAAAAATTATTTGTTTGAAATCTTTTTAAAACCTAGTATTCTACTTTTAATAAAAATCTATCTTTGACTGCTACTGCACATATAACAACAAAATCCATCAAATTCTTGAATTATTTTTGAAAGAATATTTAAGAATATTTTTTTTATTTGATTGTGTTTTGTGTCTTTCAGTGTCTCACGTGGTAGTTGCTCCAACACTAGGAGACGTCCCTGGTCAGACTTTGTGTCCTCACTGTCAGCAAACTGTGATCACCCAGACAGAGTACATGCCAGGACTGTTGACCTGGGCTATTTGTGGAGGATTGACCATCCTGGGGTAAAAACCTGCTCATTATTCAGTATCTTGGAACTTAAATTTCTTTTAAAAATAAATACAAATAACCACATTTGCCTAGAATCTGACAGAATTTCTAATTTTTCCACACATAGATGCTGGCTTTGCTGTTGTATCCCGTTCTGCCTCGACTCCTGTAAAGATGTGGAGCATCGTTGTCCAAACTGCCAACAGATCCTCTACATATACAAACGGATGTGAAATCACAAAAAGAAAAAAAAAAGAATAAAGAAAAAATCACTGCAATTCTCTTTCTTTACTTTATAAATAATAATAATAAAATATATGTTAAGTTCAAAGAGATACAAATTGCACTGGGATATGTATATGTGATGAGGTATTTTAAAAGAAGTTAGGATCACTCAATCAATGGAAATGTTGCTTTTAATTCTTCAATAAAAGAATTGTTTTCTTTCATTTTGGCTGTCACCTATTTTGTTCAGGATATTAGTGTCGCATTTTGTTATATGCTTCATACAGATTTTCTAAAATTAAAACAAAAGACAATTTGTTATTTTTAATTTTTTTTAAGTTGTCTAGTAGCTCTAACAACAAAGATGACTGTTCTATTTTTTTGTACTTGAACACACATAATTTTGATACCTGTTCATTAAGGTGGTTGAAAAAAAGTAAAACTATTAATATAATATAATATAATATAATATAATATAATATAATATAATATAATATAATATAATATAATATAATATAATATAATGAAATAAATGTCACCATTATAAACAGTATAAAACTAACACAGTTTTATGCTGTGTTTCTTTAAAAAACAGCATTTCAAAAACAATGCCATGCTTGCAGTCAAACATAGTGGTGGTAGTATGATGATATGGGCCTGCCTTCCAGCTAAAAGACCTGCATGATTTGCTGCGTTGTGTAATAACCATAAATTTTGCTCTCTTCCAAAAAATCCTGATGGAGACTACCAGATCTGGATGGAATAAGAACAAACAATGAACAGAGGGAGAAGTGAAGCTTAAGCTCATGTACTCTGACAGAACAATGATCAAAAACACACCATGAACTAAAGCAGGGTGACTTCAAGCTTTTGGAATCAGTCTCCCAAAGTGAGAACCGGTCTGTTGAATAATTGGCAAAACTCAGACAGTCAGTGCCAGCAAACCAAGGCTACTGATCTCCTTGTGCTTTTTATCTGTTTTTATTTATGCTCTGTATTAGACAGAGTTAAACTCCAGCACAAGAAAGATGATTTATCAGAGTTGTTCTTCAAAACTGTTGTTTTTTTTTTGCACAAATTTTTATATTACCACATTATACTTATACATTTCTTACAATCTTCTTTCCACTATTTTTCATAACTAGGATTTTTTTCCTGTGCGGCATAATTAGCCATACTGTATAGTCTCTCTTATTTTTATTGATAGTTGTATGTATCTGTGCGTTCGCCTGGAACTGCTGATGACACACAAAGGGTCAATGAAGGATAATTTTATATTATCCTATTCTAAGAGATGAAATATCTATTGTTCAACATGCCATGCTATCTAATCTGGTGAGTAATAATAGAACATAGCTTGAGTTACAGGTTTCTGTAATGCTTTGATTGTATTAGAACCTTCCATATGTTTCGAATCTATGAGCAAAAAGTAAAAATAAATAAATAAAAAAATAAAGAAAAATAATGGTAATACTTTTTTACTTTAAAAAAAAGGTATTGACGAAGTATGAGCACAACAGTTTGTCACAGCAAATGGTCTACGTTTGTAGCATGATGTGACGTCATCACGTGATCCAGTCAACGACTCAGCTGTTGGACGGTGGGTTCAAAGATCGTTGGATATGTTGTAAATTCAGACCTTCGCACGTGAACATACAATCTCAAATTAGGTATGTCATCTCTCTAATTACAACCGTATTGCACAAATAATAATAATAATAAAAAATAAACCAAAAAGAAAATAAATACATGAAAAAGATAAAGTTATATATATTTTTCGGTATAAACGACTTTTAGAAAATCGTTTATACCGATTTATAAATGACTAATGGGGATTTGTATTTGTGCTTTTCGGCGAATGAAAAACAATTTTGTGTCTGAACGCTAAACGTTGTGGTGTTTATCTAAGGATGGAAGGAATTGGAAGCCCAAACTTTCGGAGAGCACTTGAAGGGAGCACGAGACGAGCTTGGAATAAATAGGAAGATATCCACGTAGCTTATATATCCGTACGCCGTTACAAATGTGTCCGTTTATTTAACGAAAACGTATTTTAATTTAGGGGATATATGCGTTCATAGTGGCGGGGTAACGCGGACAAAACCCCACACCGGCCGGTCCTTTTTGCTGTAAGGGAAAAGGACTAAAAATGGAGCTGGAAGACGGAGTTGTGTACCAGGACGACCCGGGGACATCTGCGATGATGTCGGAGCGGGTCTCGGGCCTGGCCAGCTCCATCTACCGCGAGTTCGAGAGGCTCATCGGCAAGTACGACGAGGACGTGGTGAAGGAGCTGATGCCGCTGGTCGTGGCCGTACTGGAGAACCTGGACTCGGTGTTCGCGGAGAACCAGGAGCACGAAGTGGAGCTGGAGCTGCTGAAGGAGGACAACGAGCAGCTCATCACCCAGTACGAGCGGGAGAAAGCGCTGAGGAAACATGCGGAGGAGGTGGGCTGAAAGGGAGACGGGGGACGAAACAAACAAACAAACAAACAAAAAAAGCAACAAGCTGTTGTCTTTTTGGAGGTTAGCGAGAGCCGCCTGAGGTGCATTCTCCTCCCAGCATCCCTGAGTGGTGAATCCACGTGGCGTGGCAGCATCCACGGAGCTCACTGAGGATGTAAACAAGACTAACAGCAGACCCAGTAGTTATAGTCGACGTGTTTTCTGGTGAAGGAGTCAGTGCAATAATACAGTAGTCACTATGTAGTACATCAGCACATCCAAAAAAGCAATGTAGGCTCAGCCTCCTATCAGACGTACATTTGTAATATTCGATCTTGGTCATTGCATCAGATAGTGAAGTCACGTCTGAGTCCTGTGGGGACCAGAATGAAGGAGCAGGTGACGTGACTCAGCGATTTGGGCCCCTCACTCTCCTTCATTTGTGCATGTCTAAATGCCTGAAACAGATAGGCATAAACAACATGCAGCTGTTGATATAAATTTGCCTTAACCATCATCATTTATATTAGGTAGATTTTTAAATGGTTAAGAAACAAAAGGAAGGCATTTATTGCTAGTATAATTAACACAAAGCTGAAGTACTTTCAGCTGGAGTAAGGATAAAATGATAGTAACTGTGTAGTTTTTCCACTTTTGAGCATTATATATGTGTAAGTTCTGCTTTCAGGATGATGGAAGTAAATACAATGAAACCTTTATTGTTTATGTATTCTTAAATTTAAATAAATAATAATAATAAAAAGAATTCAGAATGTAAAATATAAGACTGAATTGTAAACAATAACTGGCTACACTTCAGTCATAAGTGGAACACCATAGAAAAAAATGCCGTTTTAATTAATGTACTAAAAAATGCCCACATACTTAGAAACATTCCCTAAAATTAGTAATATGAAATATAGTGGTATAGAAAAGCTGGAAAATGCTAAAACACAATGCAAATGTTCACACATTTTTGCCTGCCTCTATTTCATCTTTTTCTAACGTCAGTTCACACTAATATATGAACAAATATGCATTTATTTTATCTGAGTAGTTCTATTTTCAAGAATTATGGGGGAAAAAAATAGTCACGAAAAGGTTCAAATCTGTTTGTTATGTTCTGAAAACGTTGCGTTTTATAACTTGTCAACTCTTACATGACATGAGAGATTGCGACTACCGGTCAAACCAAAACAACCGTAAACATCCTATTATTTATTAGCGTTGTACAACCACTTATCTTTACAACAAACTACCAGGAGAATATAGGGAATTACTTTATATCGTAGGCTGTCAAAACAGGGACAAAACTCCTGTTGAAGGCAACTCAAGACAACAAAAGTCGGATACAAAATGACCAAAACAAAGAAGGTATGAAGCTGCAGTGGAGGCAGTTAACTGTGGTTCAGCTTTAACCTGCTTAACAAAGTATTATTTCAGATTGTCAGTTCATGATTATTGTTATGTTTTTATTGGTTAGGTCAGTTACAAAAATCCTCCCAGCCTCACGCTTTCCTTTCTCCAGCAGTGGTTGCAAGCTATATTTTTATTGTTTTTTTTATTATTGTACTATTACATTATTAAGAGCTGATGAAGCTTGAAATCGATGATCCCTGCTTGCGGTTTTTGAGTGAAGCAGTAAAATGCTGCTTCTTCAACTGCTTGTTCCACAAAGTGTGATGCTTTTTATCATCTTTGAGCATCCATCATGCAAACCTCTATTTTATAATCTCTGTCTTTTCTCTTCCATCATGCTAATTTACAAGCTTTAGTAGAAACATCACAGATAAGCAATCACATTCCTTTTTAGGGATTTGGAAAGCTCATTGAAGGCTGCTGTAATAAAGCCTATATGTAAAACAAAACAAAACAAAAAAAAAAGTGAAGTAGCCTATGCATTTTAAAAGGTAAAGCTCCTTTCACAGCACATTTGCATGGTAAACGTGCGTTTTCTTCATCTGTTTTAAATATTTTCATTCCCAACTTGTGCTCGTGTTTGTTTGTGGTGTCTGCAGTGTGCCACAGTGTTGTATAAACGTCGATGTGATGCGAGTCGGAGCGTCTGCCACAGTTTGTGTCTTTGGCCCACGGCTCTGCCACAGTGGGGAAGCTGTCCCAGAATGCAACACAGAAGCAGGGAGACAGGAGACACAAACACACACAGACAGTAAATTCAGTCCAAACACAAATGGTTTAAAATCATAAAAAAAGATGTTTGTTTGATTATTAATGGCAATTTTTTTTTCTTAATATCTCTGTGGAAGAGTGAAGGGACACATCCAGCCTCCTGGTTACTTCCAGGTCATGTGATCCTTTGTCAAATTAGAAACATCTTCCAGCCTCCATTTTCTGTTTCTTTTCCTATTGTCTTACTGTTTTGGTTTTAAGCCTCAGCAGACAAGAGCCCAAGTGCACTAGAAGAAGGATGCTGCTTCCAGATGAACCTAATTTTATTTATTTATTTACTTTTTATTTACTGAATTCATGGCTTGTAGTGAAGTGAGAAAGTAAGCTTCCACAAACTGGCCTTTACAGCAGGATTAGCTTTTATCTGACGCTATTCTCATGTTATTAAAAGACGCAGAGATAAAATTAAATTATGGAAATTGATTACTAGATGAAAGTAATTGGTTTTGTGTACGTTCAGGGATCTATCCAGCAGAACGAATAATGTATCCCAGTTCGTAACTTTGTCATTGAATCAGCAGTAAGATTATGGATTTGATTTTCCTTCCAAGTTAGCTTTAGTAACTCTTCAAGACCAGAGGGTTGCTT